AATACTCATGTGAGCTTCTGTCTACCTGACCTTCATCCCACTGTGAACCCTGAGATTTCATTGTTTACTGGAGGAACCTGCTTCTAGCTGTAGTGTGGCTCAGCCCTAGCACTCACTTTTAATCCAAGAAGTTTTTGCTTGAATATTGTAAACAGGATTAAGTAAATCATCGATTGGTAAAGAGGCGGAGCAAGCAGCCGGTTGACAGGAAAATAAATGACAGAGAGTGGGAAGTCAGGATAATGGAGAGAGGGACGCACAGGAAGGAGAAGGGAAGGACGTGGTTGGAGGAGGTTTTGTTTGAGGTGGCATAGGAAAAAGCTCTTTCTGAGCTGGTGAAGGAGGAAGCAGCTGGGTTCTTTCTCTGCCTCTCTGAGCTAGCAGGTTTTCACCTCAGCATCCGGCTCCCCAGTCTTTATTGATAAAATAGAACAATAGAGACTTAGATTAAAAACAATTCAAGGATTTGCATTTATATATCATTGGCCCAGTCACTCAGAATAAACCTGTACTTCAGCCAGACAACTCTAGGACATGGGTCAACATTACAGTGCCACATGGGAGTAGAATCTCCAAGCAGAAAGGTGTTAACTGAAAACCTCACCCCATGTTAGGCTGATCACACAAGTAGTGGTGGCTATTAATAGCAAGATACTGTGTGGGTCCCTTCGAGCTCTGCTGCCAGCAGAGAAACAAGTGGAGGAGACTTCTTAAGAAGGGCTTAGTTAGCCAAGGAGTTCTGACCCTAAGCAGTTTACTTTTTTTTTTTTTTTTTTTTTGGTTTTTCGAGACAGGGTTTCTCTGTGGCTTTGGAGCCTGTCCTGGAACTAGCTCCGTAGACCAGGCTGGTCTCGAACTCACAGAGATCCGCCTGCCTCTGCCTCCCGAGTGCTGGGTTTAAAGGCGTGCGCCACCACCGCCCGGCTAGCAGTTTACTTTTGACAGTGCAACTTTGGGGAAAAAAGTTAACCATGTGAGTTATCACAACAAAGCTTAAGGCATGACTACATCACTCCTTTGGACAGTACTTGTGAACACTTTCCAAGAATGGGTTCTGGTGACTCACAGTGCTCAGGATAAGGGTCTAGGGAGGAAGGGTTTGTAATAAGCATAATAGTAAACTCTTTTGCAAAATACATGGAATCTCTTTTATAAGAATGGGTTATATTAGCCCAGTGGTGGTGATGCACGCCTTTAATCTCAGCACTCGAGAGGCAGAGGCAGGTAGACCTCTGTGAGTCTGAGGCCAGCCTGGTCTACAGAGCAAGTTCCAGGACAGCCAGGGCTACACAAGAAATCCTGTCTTGAACACCAACACCACCCATCACCCCCAAAGAACAATGTGTTCTATTGACAGAGAAACCATGCTAAGGAGTCTAGAAGATTCTGATGAAACCTGGCTCTACAGAATAGTAAAAGACACCATGTTATAAACAACATTCACTCCAACCTTCTAGGTAGAAAACAGGCATACTTATCCCTTTGATTGAAGAGAACAGTCTGTGTCTAACAGTTCTGGTTTCTCTAATAGTTATCTGTGAGCAAATGTGCCTCCTATCAGATGTGATACTTTTCTTTTGTTTTTCTTAAGCTGGGCTACGGTAGGAAGTGGATGAAGTACTTTATACCAGTTGGAGAAAACTTAGAAAAAGAAAAAAAAATCTGGTATATTCTTATCGCCCGGGGATAATATACACTATTGAATAAAGCATTTTGCTTTCTTCTTCTTTTTTTTTTTTTAAATATTTATTTATTTATTATGTATACAATATTCTGTCTGTGTATATGCCTGCAGGCCAGAAGAGGGCACCAGACCCCTTTACAGATGGTTGTGAGCCACCATGTGGTTGCTGGGAATTGAACTCAGGACCTTTGGAAGAGCAGGCAATGCTCTTACCCTCTGAGCCATCTCTCCAGCCCCTCTTCTTCTTTTTTTTTTAAATTTTATCTGCCTGCCTCTGCCTCCTGAATACTGGGACTAAAGGTGTGTGCTGCCATGGTCTGCCTCAACTTTTTAACTTTTAAGTAATATGAACATCATTGTGGCTCAGTATTTAAGCATATCTACTATTAGTTCCTGATGATAAATTTTTAAATAATTGCTGCTTTTAAAAAAGTAAACATTTTGAGTCTCAGTTACTGCATCTGTTTCCTTATAAAAGCCACCTGCCTGGTCTGGTGCAGTTCCCGGCAGAAGGCCCTGGCGCAGACTCAGAACTGTGTCCTTGCCAAATTTAGAAAATAAGTAGGTCAGATTGTCTTCAGGGGCAGACCTAATGTTAGCTGTGAGAAACTTCTAGTCTGTAGCTGAGACCAGAGTCACAAACCATGGCCTCAAGGCTAGCCTAAGCAACGATAGTGAGACCCTGTGTCAAAAACACTAATAAAGGATAAGGGTGAGTGGCCAAATGCTTTTCCAGCATGCACAGGGGCCTGGGTTCAAAACCAGTACCATACAAAAAGAGAAGAGAAAGGAGAAGAACCAGCAAGCAGGTTAGTTGGGGGGGGGGAGTTGTTTGTTTTTGTTGTTGTTTTTAGGGGGGTTTTGGTTTGGGGTTTTTTTGTTGTTTTTTTTTTTTGTTGTTGTTGTTGTGTTTTTTTTTTTTTTGAGACAGGGTTTCTATGTAGCTTTGGAGCCTGACCTGGAACTAGCTCTTGTAGACCAGGCTGGCCTCGAACTCACAGAGATCTGCCTGCCTCTGCCTCCTGAGTTCTGGGATTAAAGGTGAGTGCTGGGATTAAAGGCGTGCGTCACCACCACCCAGCTACAGGTTAGTGTGTAAGGCCACCTGCTCAGTGTGTTGTTAGGTCATTACAGGAAGTTGGTAGAGCTAGTAGCTTGAGAAACTCACCCCAACATATGTTTTTGCCAAAGAACTAGCAATGTTCAAGTCATTATTGCTAAAACAATAACTTGTATGGATGCAGCAAGTATTCACTCCTGTGATTATAATTTCTTCTTTTACTCACTTCTTCCTAGCTGGATGACTTGAAGACCTTGCACATAAAATAACATATTTCTGAAGAAATGCTCTTTAGATACATACACTACAGATTTATTTTAGAATTAGCAACAATGAAAAGTGGTAGAGTTCTTGCCTTGGAATCCCAATGACCTGGTTTCAGACCCTAGTACTGTAACAAAACAAAAGGTTCAGAAGTCAAAACCCGTAACGTCAGTGTGGTGGCCCTTGCCTTCAATCTCGGCACCCAGGAAGGAGCAACTGGCAGATCTGTTCCAGGCCAGCCTGGCCTACATAGTAAGTTCCCACCCAGCCAACCAGAGCTATATAGTGAGAATCTGTCTCCAAAGCGACAAAGCAAACCAGGCTTGTTGTTAGGTTTGGTGACTATAATCACTTACATTACTCACTTGTACTGTCAGGAGCTGATACAGGAGGATTGTGTCCTTTAAGCTAGCCTGGGCAATATATTGAGACTGTTTTTTAAAAAATAAAAAGTTTAATGGCAGAGAGGCTGGAGAGATGGCTCATTGGCTGAGAGCACACAATGTTCTCCCAAAGGACCCGGGTTTGGTTCCTGCACCCACATGGTAGTTCACAGCCATCCCTAACTCTAGTTTCAGGGTATCCAATATCAGCGCGGTCTTCTGACCTCCATATATACCACATATGCACACACACATGCAGGAAAACATTCTAACCAAAAAAAATGTTTTTTGAAAAAATTCCTTGTAGGTACTTTCTGTGCAGTAATAATGTCACTAACAAATGTTCTCAAAGTAAATAATTGCCAGCCTGTACTGTTTGGCACATCTGTAAGAATAAACTTAGCTGCCTGTCATGGTGTTTTGTTTGTTGTTAGGTCTTTGAACTATCTTGAATATATTTTAATGTATTACAATTATTTTTGTATTCTTAACAATAATTATTTTAGGTCTACTGGCTATTCAGAGGTGATAGTTGTGGTCGGAGGCTGTGAACGAGTTGGAGGATTTAATCTTCCGTACACTGAGTGCTATGATCCAGTAACAGGAGAATGGAAATCCTTGGCCAAGCTTCCAGAATTTACCAAATCAGAGTATGCCGTCTGTGCACTAAGGAATGATATTCTTGTTTCAGGTAAATAAATAATTACTGCAGTAGCTGTGTTTGATTTGGATATGGGTTGGCTGGTTCTTTTTAATCAAATTATGTTTGAGTGCGCCATCTGCATGTATGCTTTTATGCCAGAAGAGAGCGCCAGATCTTATTATAGATGGTTTGAGCCACCATGTGATTGCTGAGAATTGAACTCAGGACCTGTGAAAGAGCAGCCAGTGTTCTTAACCAGTGAGCCATCTCTCCAGCCCCCAGACTGACTGTTTTTAAAAAATAATAATACCTTTTTGAGTGTGAAATGGATGTTTCAGGCAAATTAGTTTATACAAAACTGAAAAGACCTTTTATAAAACTAGAATGATTTACAAAAGATCTACCAGAAAATGCTTTTGGTCATGATATTTTAATGCTTTTACATACGCTTAGAGTATATGTGTTTTAACAGTGTGTGTGTACATAAGTGAATGTGTGTGCACGTGCATGTGTGTGGGAGAGCATAGAAGTGCCTGCAGAGGCCAAAAGAGGTCATCGGGTCTGGAGCTGAAGTTACAGGCAGTTGTAAGCTCCATGGGGTGCTGGGAACACTCGAGTCCTCTGGAAGAATGGCAGCTGCTCTGACCATGGAGCCACCTCTCCAGCCTTGTTATGGTTTAACTTTACCTCTTTGTGGTGTTTTTTTAAAATCATTATAAACTATAAAGTCAAAAGTATTTATACAATTAAGCATGTTTAATTTGCCTATTTTCTGAAATTCTTCCCCTAAGTTTTATTAATTGGAATTTTTCTGTAAAATTCTTAAGTTGAACATATTTACTATACATGATGTAGTCCTAAAAGTCAGACAAAAATGATAGATTTTCAAAACATATATCTAGTGTCTATCTATTCTTTGAAGTCTGTTGATTGACAAATAACTTAATTAGCCTTGCAGATTATTTTACTACCTAATGTATGACACTCCAGCATTCACCTGATTTTTTTGTATGGTTTTTGAAAAGTCTTTAAAATAATCCTCCTATTTGTAATTATCTGACCTCTGATTTGTAAAACTCACCATCTGTATTTTATTCTTGTGGAGCTTATGGTCCTTGTTTCTCATGAAAACAGCTGGTGGAGTTTAAACTCTTTCCTCCTTTATTTGTTGAGCTAGTTCTGAACTTCTCAGATTGAATGAGGAAGTTCTGTTTTGTTTACCTATGTGCTAGTGACAGATCTCTTGGTCATATCGAGTGACGTTGCCGAATGTGCACTGTTTTGTATTTGAAGGTGGAAGAATCAACAGCCGTGATGTCTGGATTTATAACTCACAGCTAAATATCTGGATCAGAGTTGCTTCTCTAAATAAAGGCAGATGGCGCCACAAAATGGCTGTCCTTCTTGGTAAAGTAAGAGAAACGGCTTTTTAATACTACTGTTGGTATATGTCCAAAAGAAATGCCACAGCTGTATCTTGCATTTCCCTCTGGGTATTTTGGCTTCAAACGGTATTTCCTTCCATTCCTAACCAAGATAAACTAAAGACATAAACAATATGACACTATGCTTTTTGAATAGATATTTTGTTCCTCCAATTTGAAATTTGTCGCAGTACAGCACATTTCTCACGCATTGGAATCCAAGTGCTTAAGAAGAACTAGAAAGGCATTATATCAGATACAGAACCAGACAGTGTCTAGTCCACACAGCTTTTCCCCTTTTACTGACTTTGGCAACCAAGCAGAAAAATGTTTATCTTAAGTGGTATTATTTAGCCTTCTTTGTTTGTGCAAGAGGGGATAAAACTAAGATAAACTCTCCAACGTGTGTGTGCGCGCGCGCGTGTGTGTGTGTGTTATGTATGCTTTAATTTTCAGTTGGACACATATGTGACACATGAAGGCCAGGGGAGGATGTCAGATGTCTTGTTCTATAACTTTACCTTATTCCTTTGAGGCAGGGTACTAGCCAGCAAGCCTTATCCCCACAGCACTGCAATTATAGGACATTGCTTTGTTTTTTATGTGGGTATTGGGGATTTGAACTCAGATCCTTATGCTTACACAGCAAGCCCTCTGACTTGCTGAGCCATTTCCTCAGTCCCCTCACCATGTTTTATAGGAAATCTTTTATAGACGACAGCTAACAAATGTATTAAAATAGATTCAACTGAATGCCAAGCAAGATGCTCCACCTGTGATCCTGGCCTTGGGGGCCAAGGCAGGAATGTCACAAGTGCAAGGCCACCCTGGGCTACACAGTAACACTGTGTCAAAAGAAATTATCAACTACCATTATTTAATCTGATCTGTGAAATAGTAGTTTGGGACTTTTTTTGTTTGTTTTTTCAAGACAGAGTCTCATTGTGTAGCCCTGGCAGTCCTGGAACTCACAGAAATTCACCTGCCTCTGCCCACTGAATGCTAGGATTAAAGGAAGAGCAGTCATTAGAGATTCTTTGAAAGACTCAGTTGAACTTCACAATTAATTAGAAATGGCCTAAAGAGTTGATAATTATCTATTAAAAGAGATGTCTATTAAAAGGAATGCTTGATTAAAAGTTTCTAATATAACCCATGATGCACAAAGGGATTCTTTGCTGGTAAGCTGTTCACTAGACGTCTTGTTTATGGCTTCAGCTGTCATGGAAAGGTATTGACCCACCACTGTTCATGAAAAATGTTGAGAGCTTTGAGCTCACTGTGTCTTGGGTGTTTTTCTAGCTGCTATAGCTGCTAAAAGATAGGCCTTGCCTTCAGAGAGCTCACACTAATGACTCTTTTTTTTTTTTTTACCACGTGGTACACTTTTTAATGGGAGGGGAAAACACACTAGGAAAAGTAAAAGGAAGGGACAAAGGGACTCTTAACTGGTGTTAGAGTTGCATAGCTTTATTACTTTATATTCAAATATCTCATTGTTGAGTGAAGAGAACTTGAGAAACCTTATTCCTTCGGCATGGTAACGATTTGTTCTTCAAAGGGGATAAAACAAAACAAACACGAACATTTATAGGCAAAGCACAGGTATACAGTAAGGTAAACAAATACTCAGTATGCCTGTATGATTAAAATGTCGCCAAAGGGAACGTGCCAGAAAAGGCTCTGTAATGGTGGGGGAGTCAGTCGGGATTGCTAAGAAATGACAAAGTCTCAGAAAACTGAGCTAATACACTGTAGTTACAGCTGTCAAGGCCTTGAATGAGAGGGATCCTCTAATTTTAACTGAGCAGATAAACAGTTTAGACTTGCTAGTAAGATTGTTTTTCCTGCATTTTACATACAGGTGTATGTTGTCGGAGGCTATGATGGGCAAAACAGACTTAGCAGTGTAGAGTGTTATGATTCCTTTTCAAATCGTTGGACAGAAGTTGCGCCACTTAAAGAAGCAGTGAGCTCTCCAGCAGTGACAAGCTGTATAGGAAAATTGTTTGTGATTGGTGGAGGACCTGATGATAATACTTGTTCTGATAAGGTAAGCTGTGTGCTTAGAAAACTCCCCATACTGTATATAAAAGGAGACAGATGGCCTGTTGAGGAGACAGATGGCTAGGTAGCAAAGTGTGAGGGGTCTTTGAAAAAGAGGGAAAAGCCCTGGATTTCAAGTTGCCTCAGTGACACCATCATATAGCCAGAATTTGTTATGTGTAACAAATGTGATTAAACCTTTGTGAAATGAGGCCCATCTCAGAGTGAAAAACCTCTCTATCATCTACAGGATTTAAAACTTACATACAACACAGAAAATGAAGAGCAAAGGTCAAGGCACTAACGGTGCTGCTTCCCAGCTAGGTCGTGTCTTTAGACCTTTGGAGAGTATATTTGGTTTGGTTTTTAGAATAAAGGAAGAGGAAAGATTGCCTCTATAGTGTAAGTAGGGGATGGTCCAAAGTAGCTGCAGTTCATCTGACTCTGACAGAAGAACACATGCCATCCTGGCGTTTCAGGAAATGCCGTGTCTATTCTGAGGAAGGGTACCCAATGGCTAGTTGGTTTAGTGGTGATAATGAAATTTCATCAATTAATTTATTTATTTTCTTACTTTAGTGTTAATATATCATCAGGTGGTAAAGATGTTAACCACCAAACCTGCTGATCTGATTTTGATCCCCAGATCCTACAGCTGAACGAGAGCACCTGCTCTGCGGGTTGTCCTCTGACCTCCACCTGGGCACTGTGGCAATAATAGATAAAGTTACCTATTTAAAGTTTATTGAGAATTTATGCTAACTAAAAATACAATAAACTGGCTGAGCAGTGGTGGCGCATGCCTTTAATCCCAGCACTTAGGAGGCAGAGGCAGGTGGATTTTTGTGAGTTTGAGGTCAGCCTGGTCTACACAGTGAGTTCAAGGACAGCCAGAATTGTTTCACAGGGAAACCTTGTCTCAAAAAACCAAACAAAACAAAACAAAAATAAAAACTAATTAAATTGATGTTCTTTTGAAGTAAAGTTTCCCTAAAAGCATAACGAAATTCTATTCAGATTGAAACATGATGCATAAAGCAATTTCAGAAAAACTTAAGACTTACTTTTAGTATACATTAGTAAACCTGGAGGCCATTCTTCTTGGAAATAATCTGTGTGTATTTTGTTACTGTCTTTTTCTTGATAGTAATAATTTAGGCTTTTTTGGTCATTTGTTTGTTTGTTTTTGTTTTTAAACAAAGGAGTTTTATCTTTCACCAATAAGCAAGAATTTCCCTAATTTAGTTTTTTTTTTTTTTATTTTCAAGACAGGGTTTACTAATAGCTATGGGTCCAGTTCTGAAACTCACTCTGTAGACCAGGCTGGCCTCGAACTCACAGAGATCTGCCTGTGTCTGCCTCCCGAGTGCTGGGATTAAAGGCGTGCGCCACCACTGCCTGGTAATTCATAAATTTTATAAATAAGACTAACTTCATTTAATTCTTTGAATTAATGTCATTTGATTTTTAACCATGTTAATATATTAACATTTTTAAAGCAAATTTACATATTTGTTTAGATATCTTACTTTATATTTTTCTGTATTATTAGGTTCAGTCTTATGACCCAGAAACCAATTCTTGGCTACTTCGTGCAGCTATCCCAATTGCTAAGAGGTGCATAACAGCTGTCTCTCTGAACAACCTGATCTATGTTGCTGGTGGACTGACCAAGGCGGTGTATTGTTACGACCCAGTTGAAGACTACTGGATGCATGTACAAAACACATTCAGTCGACAGGTAATAGCACAAAGTCCAAACAGAAATGAAGAAGAAATAAGTGACATGATTATTTACTTGAATGTCACTTTTCAAATATTTCATAATTTTTTTTTGTTTTTTTTGTTTTTTTGTTTTTTTTTTTCGAGACAGGGTTTCTCTGTGGTTTTGGAGCCTGTCCTGGAACTAGCTCTTGTTTTTAAACTCCCTCCTAAGGAATTGTTTTTTAATTTTTTTAATGTTTTGTTTGTTTGTTTTTTGTGGTGCTGAGGATTTGGGTCCCAGGCCTCATGAGCCCTAGGTAAACACTACACTGAACTGCATGTTCTGCCCCAAGGGTTAACTTCAGCAGGTTAACTTCTTTTTATCAACCCAACATGAAGTACCTTTTTTTTTTTTGACAGAAAAACCCTCAGCCTTCATTTTTCATAATCTTGTCCCATTCTTCTGCCATTTCTCTTCTGTGTTTCAGAAGAGGAGAGGAAGACTCAGGGCCCTTTGTTTAGAGGCTTATAGTTTTGTTGTAAAGGAAATAAATGATAGTGCTCAGGCCTCATTCATCCGCATGTTCATTCCATCTGAGGCTACAGCTCCCTTTATCTTTGTGTTCCCAGAAAGGCTCCCAGCTTCCGGGTTCTTGGCTCTGCTCACTTTCCTTTTACTACCAAAATGCTGCTTCTGTCTCTCCTCACATGTTAGTGTGTGCATAGGGATGTGGGTGACCAGAGAGACCAGAGCGGGGAGCACTCCTGTAGTTTCAATTACAGGTGATAGTGAGCCCCCTGATGTGTGGGTGCTGGGAACCAAACTCCAGCCTTTTGCAAATGACGCCAGTGCTCTTAACCCCTGAACCAGTCTGCTCTCCCAAAATGTATTCTTTGTTTCTTTCCATCTATCTTTCTTCTTCCTTTCTTTCTTTGATTAGTTGGCAGGATTTTGTCTATTTTTCTTTCTTCCTTTTTTTGAGAAAGGATCTCACTATGTAGTCCTTGCTGGCTTGAAACTCACAGATCTGCTTTCTTTTCCCTCCTGAATGCTGAGATTAAAGGTGTGCCCCATACACATTTTTTTTTTTTGGTTTTTCAAGACAGGATTTCCTCTTCGTAGCTTTGGAGCCTATCCTGGGACTTGCTCTGTAGGCCAGGCTGGCTTCGAACTCATAGGGATCCACCTGCCTCTGTCTCCTGAGTGTTGCGATTAAAAGGCGTGCATGTGCCACCACCACCCAGCCAAAGACACATTTCTTAAAGTCACCAACCAGTCACATCTCCTGTTTTCAGTCTCTTTTTTTCCACTCCATCTTTAAGTATTAATGTTGCATAGCCTCTTTCCCCTGATTTTAACTCTAGTTTACTCCTGAATTACTTCATTTGCTGCTCAGGACTCACCTTGTTCCAGCTCCTGTTCCCAACAGCTGTGTGGCATTGTACAATAGAATCTGCTATTCTGCTGCTGTCTCTGTGTCCAGACATTTCAGGTTTTTTCCCTGTCTCTAAAAGTGAAGCTCACACACTGGAGCTGTCCTCAGAGTCCTGTCCTGTCTAGTAGCTTCTCTAAACCTGTTTTTTGTTTTAATTTTCTGTAACTTTATTCCAATTGCATTGTTATTTTTATTTTCAGTACAAATCACAATATTTTATTGGCTTGTGTTGATCCCTCAGCCTATGATGCTTTGTTTACCTTCTGTACTTGTAATTCCACTCATCTTTCAACAACAAACGCAGGTTACCTTGGTCAGAACTGACCTTTCCCCACTCCTTTTGTAGTATTCACACTGAGTACAGCAGTTGCACACGCCTAAAGTCCTTGCTTTATTTTATTTTGTTGCCTGGTCGGTTTTGGTTTTTTTGACTGGTTCTCAAGCTGTCGGAACTAGCCTTGAACTTAGCTTGATCTGCCTTCCCCTCCAAAAAGCTGGGATTCCAGATGTGTACGACAGTGCCAGAATCCCTTGTGAATTTAGGTTTTGAAGGGTTTTTTAAACATTTATTTGTTTGTTTGGGTGTTTGTATGTGTGTCACAGCACATGTAAAGGTCAGAAGGCAACATGTAGCATCCCACTATGTGTATACTGGAATGGAACACAAGTTGCTGGGATTGGCAGGAAACACCTTTAACTAGCGAGCCATCTACCAAATCCTTGTTATAATTTGGTATGAGAGTGTACGAGCGTGCGTGCGTGTGTGTGTGTGTGTGCGTGCATATTATGTGTGCATGCCACGTGTATGAGTGTTCCCAGATAAGAGAAAAGAATGTTGTGTCCCCTGGAATGACTGTTGGGAACTGAACTTGGTCCTCTAGAACAGCAGCAAGTACTCTTAACCACTAAGCCATCTCTTTATACTTCCCTGGATTAGTTTTTATATGTTTCTTTTTAGATTTTTTTTTTATTTATGGGTCTGTGTGAATGTATGCTATATGTATGCAGGTTCCCTTAGCAACCAGAGAAGGTTATCAGATCTCCTGGAACCAGACTTAGGAACAGGCAGTTGACCTGCCCAGTGTGAGTGCTGAGACCTGAATGTGGGTCCTAGAAGAACAGCGAGTACCCTTTAAGCCCTGAGCCATCTTTAGCCCGTGCCCTGGTTTTTTAAATGTTTATTTCTCTTTTGGTTTTTTGAGACGGTTTCTCTGTGTAACAGCCCTGGCTGTTCTGAAACTCCTTTCACAGACCAGACTAACCTCAAACTCACAGAGATCCTCCTGCCTCTGCCCCTTGGAATTCAGCCTTCTTTAGGATACTATTGAATTAGAAGTTCATTTCCTGTATATCTTGCATATGTTTATGTTGATAATATATTTGCTGAATTAGTGAACAGATGAAGTAAATGGCCTGACCAATAGACCCCCGCATGATAGGAGATAAGAGCACCCTTGGGTCTCCTCCAGCATCTCACATGTGCTCATACACTGCTGCACACAAAATGTAATTTTTTTTTAAGTAAGGGAGGAACATTTTAAGTCAGTGATGAATATTTCTTTTCCTTCTTCAGTATATCAAATATTTAAAATGTTAGTAAAGTTTAGAATTGTTATATAAGGGAAAATCTGAAAGCAGGTTCGTAATCTCAGAACTCATTGCGGGTACTGAGACAGGAGAATTGTTATCAATTCAAGGTCAGCCTGGGCTACAGACTAGTAAGATTCTTTATTTTTGTTTTTTTTAAAGACTCACCTTTGTAAGAATAGCTCTTTGCCTAGTAATTATTTACACACAAATACAATTTGGCCAAGGATCTCTTTATGTAGAAAAAACTATTGGTGGCATTTGTGTCCCCACTAAGACCTCTGATAACAGGGTTTTCTTCTTGTTGTTGTTTTGTTTTGTTTTACTTTGATTAAAACTTTTTTTTCTCTTGGTGGTGGTGGTGCATGCCTTTAGTCCCAGCACTTAGGAGGCAGAGACAGGTGGATTTCTAAGAGTTTGAGGACATCCTGGTCTACAGAATGAGTTCCAGGACAGCCAGGACTACACAGAGAAACCCTGTCTCAAAAAAACAACCAAAGAAACACACAAACTGGTTTTCATTTTTTTCAACTTAAGGCCCTCTCAAGGGACTTAGTGTCCCTGTTCATTGATCATGTGATAATTACAATAGCTGCCCTTCACTGCAGTGAGCTAGTCAAAGCCTTTTTAGTCTTCTTGTCTTGGCCTTTGTTACTCACTTCATGCAAATACTCATGAATAACAGGCGTTGGGCCAAAGGTAGATGAGATGATATTATATCTTATTTTTTTGTACTGTGTTAAAACATATTGTTGTTTTTCTGTTTATTGTCAAATCCATTATCTCCAGTAGTTAATTGGTTTTTTGTTTTGTTTTGTGTATTTGGTTAAACAGGAAAACTGTGGTATGTCTGTGTGCAATGGTAAGATCTATATCCTGGGTGGAAGACGGGAAAACGGAGAAGCCACTGACACTATTCTCTGTTACGATCCTGCAACAAGTATCATCACAGGGGTTGCTGCAATGCCCAGACCAGTGTCCTACCATGGCTGTGTGACTATTCATAGATACAATGAGAAATGCTTTAAGCTCTAAACCTGGGGTACCTCACACAAGAAGCCACGCAGTCCAAGAGGGAACTTTTAAAGTAAGAACACATCTCCTTTGTGCTGTATGGAAAAAGAAATAAAGAAATAGCCCTGATGCCATTTTCCAAAAATAACAATATTTCAAGCTGTAATAAGTTCTTTCCTGTAACCGGGGGAGAGAGCTGTTAAGATGATGGCAGTTAAAGCCAGGCATAGTAGTGCACACCTTTAATTCCAGTACCCAGAAGGCAAAGGCAGGTGGATTTCTTCGAGTTTGAGCCCAGCCTGATCTACATAACAAGTTCTAGGTCACCAGGGGCTACACAATAAGGCCTGTCTTCAAAAAAAAAGAAGTCATAATGATAATTTGGCCTATGAATATATTTTTGCATCTGTGAGAAACTGAGTGGGGTAGGGAATGACATCCAGCTGCAAACTTCTTAGGGATTTGTGAACCATCTTTTAGAAATGTTTATTTCTTTTTTGTCTGTTATGTAGAGAAAAATTGTATGACTGACGCTTCATTTAGGTTGAATTGCCTGATGTTAAGAATGTTTAGCATTCATTGTGAGGGAAGAAGCAAGTTTTAAATACATCTGTCACTGACTTATCCCTACTGGTTAATTTCACTGAAGGTGGTTTTTTTTTTTTAAGCTGTAAAAATGTAGTGACAATTCAGCTACCATAAAACATCAAATTTAATGACTTTATGGACTATTCTCTGTTACTAAATACTTTTTTGAGCTTATGTAGGAGATATAAAAGGAGATTTAAACTATACCTTAGTCCCTAAGGAAAAAATTAAAATAGCTATCAGAGGAAAAAAAATGTGATCCAGTTTGGTTCTCAGGGTATTTAATGAATCATCTGTGAGTTCTTCACTGAAGTCCTCCCTTAAAGCTAGCATAGAAGTTGAATTCCTTTTCCAGAGCCAGGATGTGGGCACACCTGTCTCCGGGATCTGGACTGTGCATCAAACCAAATTGGGACTGAAGAGATGGCTCAGTGTTTAAGAACATTTACTGCTCTTGCAGAGAACCCTGGTTTGGTTCCTAGTATCCACATCAGATGGTTCACAAAGACCTGTAATTCTAGTTCCAGGGAACCCAGCACCCTCGGGCCTCCCTGGGCACCTACAGGCATGTGGTGCACATAAATTCACACAGACACACGTATGTACATTAAAGAAATGAATCTTTAAAAAAGATAGGTTTGCTCCCTACGAGCCCAGCAGAGTTGACCTTCCTAGTTTGATGCTTTGTCTAGTATCTCTTCCTTGACTTCTGAGCATCTACCAGTCCTAGGAATCTCTACACCAATTCCTTAATAGCCTAGAGCAGAGGCCACTCTTCAGTGGGGCCACTTGTTTGTGAGTTAGCGCCCAGCCACACTTGTGGCCAACAGCAGTTCCGGTCTTCGGGGCGAGAGCTCTTATTTGAGAGCCATTGTATAAAATATTGATCAACGTTTTCAAATTTCTATTAAAAAGTTTTTCCTTTAGGTTTTTTACCTCCATTCTATAAAGGTTACCTGTTTTCAAAGGGAAATACAAAAGTTTTTTTCTTAAAAATGTGAGTGGGTACAACAGGAACTATCATAACTAATTAGTGTAACTTCTATGTGGACACATAACTACTTACAATGCTGTGGCTCTCATACCACAATATACTCCCTGTCAGTGACTATAATAGTGTCATTAGAGTTCTGTTAAAATTAAGGTAATCATCAAACGCCTACCATTGACAAACTTTATTCCTCATCTTAGCATAATACAAACATTTCTTAGGAGTCAGTGCTTAATTGGAATCTAAATTCTGAGAAAAATGCTAGAAAGTACACTTAGACTTTCCAAGTCATAAATATTAAATGATTTAACTGATAGCTATACAAGCGTTCTGAAAAAATTATCTGTCAGTTGAGAGACTGTTGGTGTACAATTGAGATATTTGTACTGTAATTTTATAGTAAATACCTGCATTATACTTTTGTGAGATAATAGAAACTGTTTAATTCAGAAATTCTTAACAGTAAAGTGTATGAACAAGTGTTTTGTAAATGCTTAAGATTCTACAAATGATAATTGTTATCCTCATGTATATTTGTAATATTGTGTCCATTCATAAATACACCATATAAAAAACTTTCTCAAAGTAAATTTGTATTTTATTATTTTTGTCTATTGTAAAAGTATTATCTATTTGTAATTTGTAATGTTTATCTTTCATAATCCTTGTGTTTGTTGTAGTAAATTGGAAAAAATCCTGAGAAATCAGAATTTGTTTAAACAAATGAATTTTTCTTTATGTAATTTAAAAACCATGTAAATTGAGTAGTTGCAAGTTATGTTAAAAGTCACCCAAGCCGGGCGATGGTGGCGCACGCCTTTAATCCCAGCACTCGGGAGACAGAGGCAGGCGGATTTCTGTGAGTTCGAGACCAGCCTGGTCTACAGAGCGAGTTCCAGGACAGGCTCCAAAGCCACAGAGAAACCCTGTCTCGAAAAAAAAAAAAAAGTCACCCAAAAGTACCTCGAATCCTAGAAAATTAAATTTTTAAAGCTGCCCAACTGATATTTTAACTTTTTTAATTACCTTTCTTATATTTTAATTTCCTTTAATTATCTTTCTTTACTAATTCTTGATAAAAAGTAGTAGTGGTAAGTCCTGGTTTAAGAAACATAATTTTAGGGTATAATTAGTATATTAAAAGGGACATGTCAACCATCTTGGTGACAGACTAATATTCTTTATGTCCTCCCACAACTGGCAGTTTTTCTTTTGGTAGGTGATGGTTATGTGCACCTCTAGGTTATATGTATGTGTTTATATGTAGACAGTATGGATGTGTGCATACATCACAAACACCCAATGATTTTTGAAGTTTCATTATCAGAAATTGATAATAAGATTAAAAAATTAGTTGATCATATTTTCTTCAAGTGCAGAAGACTAAATTTGAACACTTCTGGAGGACTCTGTTTTTGAGACAGGATCTCTGTTGCCTGTGCTAGCCTCAAGCTTTTGGCGGCGATTCTTTGTTTTTTGGGTGCTATAGGCACAAATGGAAGCCAGCACCTGTTTTTTAGAATAATCATTTCATCTGAAAGTCCAGATCTGGCCATGGGGATCTGTACACCTGTGTAACAGCAGGGTTACAGTCAGAAAGCAGACTTCTCAGGTCACAAGAGCCCATTGTGACCATCTCAGCTGGAGAGAACTTGAAGGTATGTTTTGTGAATCAATAGAAAATAACAGTTACTTGTTGCTTCTTTAAGACAAGGTTTCTCTGTCTAACAGTCCTGACTATCCTGGAACTCCTCTGTAAACCAGGCTGGCCTCGAACCTCTCTCTCCCACGTGCTGGGATTAAAGGCATGCACCACCACCACCACCAAGCTACACTTGGTTTTTGTATCCATTTTTTCATGAACTTGAATCCTTTTCTAACTCTTCCCCATGTGTGTGACAAGGTGGTCTGAGTTCCGCCTCTTCCACTATGCTGTCCCCACTGACTTTACTAACAGATGAATTGGGTTCCATAGCTGTTTTCTTGGATGATTGGGACCCAGGTGTTTACTCCATTTGAATCCGGTTTAAAAATACGTAAATGCTCAGGGAGGATGTAAGCTTGTCACTGCTGCCTGTTTGGGGTGCTGTCTCTTAAATAGAGTTGCTGACTCTAGACTGAAGTTCTTAGAGAAGCTTCACACGTGACCATGGTTGAACATTCATTCTACTTAGGATGACAATGCTTCGTGAATTGATGGATTCTCCTGGTTAGTATGAATTGTTTATGTATCTACTGTCAGACTCCCATCCAGAAACTCAGGAAAGACAGACGTTTTCTGCTTTTGTCCATGTCCAAACCAGGTGTGTGCTGCTTTTTCCTGACCAGACAATAGATTTTAACAATCACTTTTGAGAGCCCATCTATGAAGAGAGGGAGTTATCTTCTGTGTTCCTTTAACATCTTGGGATAAATATGTGAAAAGGCTACGTACTCCAGACTTTATGTGGTACCAAGTGATAGGATGATGTCTAGAGGTTTCCTGTGGACTGCCTTGTTTCGTAGTCCATCCAAGACACTACGAGTTAACAGGACTTGGCCTTGCTAGACTTAGTTTTGCCCAGCTGAGTACGGTGTCAGTGCCTATAATTCCAGCCCTAAGGAAGTGGGGCTCAAGGATCAGGAGAGTTCAAGGACAGCCATGGCTACATAGTTTGAGGCCAGATTTAGCCACGTAAAATCTCATGTCAAAATAATAATGGAATTGTTTAACATTCTGTAGAAAGCTAGAATTATATCACTTCACCCATTTATTGTGTTGGGTAAGCAAGCAACTCACGATACTACATAACCGAATGAAGCTGCCTGGCTGACCTGTAAGACAGTAGGTTTGAGTCACTAAATATAGCCACACCTAATGCCAGGCATCAGACACCACCACTCCCAAGAGTGTAAACTAATGATACCAGAGTTGTTTTCAAAACATTGTAAACATTTTAAAGTGTTTATTTGTGAGCAGTTTGGAGAGATGGTTCAGCAGTTAGGAGCACTGGTACTTCTCCTCTTGGAAACAATCTGGGATAGGGGTCCAAGTACTTTTCATGGTGGCTCACGTGCCTGTAACTCAGTTCCTGGCATTGCAATACCTACGCAGGCACCAGGCACACATACGGTGCACATACATGTGCAAACACACATAGTACAGGCAAAACATACACATCAAAATATCATTAAGATATTATATATGAAACTTTTTACATGTGTGTAATTAATAATATTAATAAGATATTAAACTTACATAGGGCTAAAGGTGATCCTAAGTTTTTGAATAGTGAAGTCATAACTTTATATATCGTTCCAAAGAAGTTTTGTTTTCATTTTTGTGCCTTAAGCCTCCCCAGTGCCATTTCAGTCAGATAAAACTCAGCACGCATAAACTGCAGATTTGCCTCCTGTGCCGTTTATACACTTTTTTTTTCTGGCCCGGCTTTTATTTTTTATTTTTGTTTTGGAAACTGGGTTGGTTTTATCTTTTGAGTCAGGGTCATCTATAGCTCAGACTGGCCTAGAACTCTTGCTGTAGATGAACTTGAACTCCAGTTGTTCTTTCTGTATCTCCCAAATGCTTGGATGATAGCATATGCCACCATACCTGGCTGTTCTTGTTTGTGGGTTGGTTGATTTAATGTCACCCTGGCTAACCTGGAACTCAGGACATGGCCAGGCTGGCCTTGAGCAGTGGCAGTTTTGCCTCTGTCCATGTGTGCTAGGATTATAGGCTTGGGCCATCATACCCAGCTGACGGAAAATTCTTTGTGAATTTCAACTCTATAGTTGCTTGGCAGAAAGAGAACGTTAACTGAGGTTGTTGCTTGGTCTACATTAACTCTTGGTACCTAGGTGCTTTTAAAATTCCCAGATAAACCCTCATTAGGCTCTCGTAGAGGTCAGTTGAAAGATCTAATAGTGGAAAAGCTGGGTAGTTATATCTGTTATATCCTTACATTAGTAATTAGTTCTGCTCTAGGCTTTTTCTTTTGACTTTGTTGAGAAAGCACTTCCTTTTATCACCCTCCTGAAGTGTGTAAGTTTCTAGAGCTAGCTGAGGTAAGGCTCAGAACTGAACAACTGTAATGTGCCTTACTGCAACTGCTGCACACCCATTGTTCTCACTTTGAATCTTCACAAAGAAAAAGAATGTTTTCTTTGTCCTTGTTCTCAGTTCAGTCCTAGTACAGTAATGCTTATGTGTTTGTTTAATGGCACTTCTTCCATGGTTGAAAGTTTTAAAAAGTTGTATCTAATCTCTTTTAAATATTACTTGACTATATGGTTGCATTAAATTTTGTTTACCAAAAATCTGATGAGTTTTAGTTTTGTTTTTAATATACCCAAGTGATTGTGTAAAAAGGGACAAGGGTAAAATCAGATTTTTATATTTACCAGAATCACCATAAAATAAGTCATGATATAAACAAGAAACTAAAATAGTGATTTGAGGAAGGGAAATGGTGGCCAACAATACTAAAGTTGATGTGTGTTGAGCACGGTGTCCAGTGTAGCAGTGTTGAGGAACTGTTCAGATGAAACAGAGCTCGGGTTTAATAAAGATGTTAATACAGCTTACCTATGAATATGTGTGTAATATACATGTTAGTGAGTTTTTAATATCAGCGGTTGTCCCAAAATCATGTTCTGTTTGAAAGCTTAGATTCACCTTTTATAGGGGAAAAAAGGAGAAAATGGTAGTTCGTGTGGGGAAACCAAGGACCACTGACAATAAAAACATCTCGTGCAGAACTGGGAGTCCAGCCAGGGAGTGAGTCGAGAACACTTGCTCCTCCTAAGTGGAGGACAGCTTCAGAAATTTGGGTTAAAGCAGCCTTAATAACTTGATACCAGGTGTCTGAGGACAACACTGTCTCTTAGAAGTTGGATAAATGGGAAAGATAGCATATGCTTTTTTAATGTTGCTAAGTTAGTTTGCTCTTCTGTACATGTTTGTTAGCTGTTCGGATGTGGTAAAAGAAGCTTTCCCAGATTCTGTAAGTTGTAACAAAGGCAGTTGTTAAAGTTTTGAATTTTTTTTTAAATGAAGCCAGATAATTATGTATTCCTGCCTTGTAAGGGATTGAGTAGGTCAGTTCTCACAAGAACAGATTGATATTTAACCCTCAGCTCCTTCTCTGACTTTCTGTGACCCTCAGCCCTCATGCAGTCCCCACCATGATGCCGTCTGGGCTGAAATCAAGACAGAGACACACACACAAGTACTAATTGGTTGTCTTCAACCTTTATTAAAGCTGTGAGCAGAATCAGAGTGACTCTGTATAAGCTACCCAGCCAGTTAATAAATTACATATCCAGTATCCAACAAGAGCTGAGTGTGGAGGTACAGCTTTAATCCCAACACCCAGAGGCAGAGGCAGGCAGATTTCTATGCGTTCCTGGCAGAAAAATAAATAAAACTAGACCTATGGCATGACCCAGCTATACCACTCCTAAACATATACCCAAAGGACTCTACCCTGCCACAAATACACATCCATGTTCATTGCAGCTCTATACAAAAATTAGGGTTGGAAGGAGACATCAAAAATCGAACACATGAGGCTGGAGAGATGGCTCAGAAGTTAAGAGCATTGCCTGCTCTTCCAAAGGTCCTGAGTTCAATTCCCAGCAACCACATGGTGGTTCACAACCATCTGTAATGGAGGCTAGGTGCCCTCTTCTGGCCTGCAGGCATACACACAGACAGAATATTATA